TGGGAGGAAAAGTCCGCGGCGGATCGGCGGTGGATCGCAATCTCGTTTCGGTTTTATCGCGAAGATCTGCCTGTCGGAGCCCCTCGGTGTGTCGCGAAATCGGTGTCTAAGGTCTCGAACGTTCGAAGAACATTGGTCTTCGTCTTCCTAGGTCCTAGCAACTTTCGTATATACGCGGACGAGGACCGATTCACCGATCGACCGAGGCTTTCGAATCTCCGTGTCTGTCTTTCATTTCGCTGATTGCGACAAACTCGCGAATATCACGGTTACAAGGGACGAGCTGTCTCGCGGGGACGGCGGGGAAACTGATTCCTGCTGATGCGGCTGATTGCGATCGATCGATCAATCGGAACTTTGTCATTCTGGAATCCCGTGCAGCAGGGGAGAAGGGAAGTACGAATTAATCGGGGGAGAATTCGGGTCGTTGGACGCGTCCACTTTCGGTTCGCGTTGTTTGTTCGTTGATGGACGATTGAAACGATCGGTATCGATGTCCGTAAGTATCGTCGATTAACTTTCTTCCTCCTCGACTCGCGACGCGTGCGACATCGAGGGCTCGAGGGTTTCGTGTCGAAAAGACGGTCTACTTGTTTGAAAAGTGCGATCTCAGTATCGATATCGATATCGGCGGTTGCGATCGCTGGAAGATGGACTTCCCCTCGGTAGAATCTTTATAACCTAATCAGAGAACTTGCGTTGCTTGGTCGGTCAAAAGGTCTCTTCATCCATCTCAGGTCCTTCGGGCAACTCTTCGAGTAACATCGAAACCGATTTCACTCTTGCTTGCGCTTTACGATCCTCCTCCCGCCTTTGCGTAAAGTCGTATCGTCGCTTTAATTAAGAGCCGGTGTGCTTGCACTTTTGATCTTCGACATGCTGATTACATTCTGAGAGCAGTGTGTCATGTCGAGAGGAAAACAGGCGAGACGGGCGACAATCGAGAGACAGAGGGAATTTCGTTCGCTCCGAACTGAACGATCGTGAAATCAGACCGGTGAGGAGGGGGGTGGGGTGGAGAGAGAGAGAGAGAGAAAACAGAAAACACACGGAGGAGAGGAGAAAAATCGAGCAGAACAAAAGGGGAAAAGTAAAACCGTCGTACTTACTGGCGGTCGTATAAAAGCGGAAAAGATGTCTCATAGAAAAATGAAAACAGAAATAAAGGAGAAAGATGAGATAGGTCGAGGAGGGTGTGTGTGTACATATATATATATATATATGTATATATAGAGGGTAGAGTCTCTGGGATCGAGGTA